GATACAAAATAGCTGCTACGTATGTTATCAAATGGGAACCATTACTTTTATAATGTTTGTATCAACTCGTTGTTTGGGTTAATAATATTCCAATTAATATTTATAGCTTGGATTAATAATATGCCAAAGGAAAACACCGGAACACAAGATTAGTGGAAAAAACTGTTTAACTATGTGGTTAATAATACACTAGTGAATATCATAGTGCAACACAATTTGGGACCCCTTCTATAGTCAATGGAAGAGTCTATTTTCAGAACTTTAGTGTAGCGAAGGTTGGTTGCCATTCTAGACAACAGTTATAAATGGTGTTCCAATAACTTGGATCGATTTTAAATGTGAATTAAGTTTAAGCGTCTAATGACTTTTTTTCCTTTTTCTTTCAGATTTAACAACTTAAGTCTTTGGCAATTTTAAACATGGAAAGATTAACACTCAAACAACGTGTTACAGTTTCAAGAGTGGAAATTGGAAGTATTGTTCGTAATTCAAACAAACTGGGTCGGCGGCAGAAGTGAAAACACCATTGCGTGTTCGTTTTATGACGTTCAGATGAAAACATTCATTGCATGAGAATTTGGCCGAAAATCCAGACACTCCAATTCGTCACCGCGCGCAGGAATTGAACCTCTCCACAACAAGGTTACATCGTTTCCAATTGCACTCTCGGTTGGTCGATTATGTTGACCAAAAAATCGCAAAGTACGCGAAATGCATTTCTGTTTGAACGTCCATTTTCGTAATAACTTTAACACGTTGGTTTATTATTAATCTTTTCATCGTTGAAATTGCCAAAAACTTACGTCGTTAAATCTGAAAGAAAAAGAAAAAAATCCTTAGACGCTTAAATTTAATTCACATTTAAAATCGGTCAAAGTTATTGAAACACGCTTTATTATAGAAAATCAGCGTTTATATAAATATCGTTAATGACCAAGAAAGGTTCTTTGTTAAATAAATCTTTCGTCTATTTTTCCTATATTTTGGAAATTTTTTTTGGTTTCTGGTACATAATTAAGTATGAATTGTCCGATGTCGAAGTACTTTTGGCTTTCATAAGCCGTGATCAAAGAGTTGTTCTTTTGTGCTATGACGGTTTCATCATTCTCCACACGTCATCTCGATTTTTGAAGTATCCTGTCTTCACACGTCAAAGACGACTTCAGCTTTAATCTGATAAATAAAATTTAATATAGTGCCATATGACGTATTTGTACATCGGTGTCATTTTTCCCCAGAATAGGCGCAACAAATCAAGATAGAAAAAAAAACTGTATTTTCATTAGAAAATTCATCAGTTAAACTTTGTGTTAAACTAGAATAATGGACGTACATGGGTGTGTCATGTTTAACCTGTCACATGTCACAAGACGAACAGAGAGCGTATAGGCAGAAAGAACGGAGTGTCAGTTTTATGGAATACTGATAGCTGCCATGGAATATTGAATCCTATGCCCACAATCGTCAAATACTCAACCTTTGACATCTGCTAACTGGTTTATTGAAAAGGCGTTAGTTTTTCTAGTTTATGGGCTATAAAATATTAAATATTGGTACATCTGAGTCTATTTTCGAGGTAGAGGCAGTAATCCATGTGAGGCGGATGTATACACAAAAATAATCGTGTACAATATATATTTAACAACTTACAACATAATAGAAAATATCCTGTTCCAAAAGGCCAAGAAAAGTATAAATATGGATTGAAGCGCAGTACTAGATTGGCGGCAAGGTCTCATCATTTTACAGTTGAAATGGCAAGAGGTAACCGTAAGTTCTATGCTAACAGTTTCTTCTGTTGGACTTCCCGCCTGTGAAACTCTCTTCCATGTTCTTACTTTCCAGCCCAAAAATTAAATGCAATGTTAATTGTTATCTTCTGTCTCCTAAATTGTTGTTCTTCTATTTTTATTTATACGTAATAGTATTTTCGCATATTCTTTTACACTCAGTAACATCTTGAGTCTTAGTGGATTTATTGCCTTTCTTGGGGTAAAATTGATTAATAAACTATATATATATATATATATATATATATATATATATATATATATATATATATATATTAATGTTATATATATATATATATATATATATATATATATATATATATATATAATGCATTAATGCATATATATATATATATATATATATATATATATATATATATGGAAATCGCATGAGAGTCTAAACTCATTTCGACATAATTTCTCTGCGAAAGCGGAAGCTCTCGTTGACAGCAAGATTAAATTTAATTAACAAGGAATTGATTCTAATACATTTATATCAAAGAAAATGTTTGCCAATACAAGATACCGAAACCTATTTTTATTTTTTATAAAGATTTAAATATTTTCAATTTTATAAACGTAAATTCATTCATTGGAGAAAATAAGTTAAAATAATTGCTTTTTTGTTTCTTTTTCGTTTTTTGTTTTTGTTTTTCCTTTTTTAGTCTTGTTTCCTTTTTAGTCTTGTTTCCTTTTGTTCCATTTGTCGCTTTTTATTGTTTCCGGTTTTGCTTTCTCCCAAATTTTATTCATATAATAATTTTCAGTTGTCGTTTCGAAATTGGCTTTGTGTTTTGGATTGAAGACTCGGCACCCTCTTGGGACGAAAAGGTAAAAGAATTGAGGAAATTAGAAGAAATGAATTTCGTTGAACAAAAACCAAAACCAAAAGATCTTAAAGTCCATTCCAAAGATCATTTTAGTTCTCTTCGAGATCTCGGTGCTTCTTTACATTTAGCTAAAAATTCCAACAGAAAAACTACGACCTTAGAAGCATATTCCCACTCTTTTATCTCAGTGGGCTACAGCATATAAACCTTTGAAGAGAAACACGGTGTCAGACACACGAGCGCCGCATCACATGTTAGTATTTCAATAAAGTAGGTGTGACAGTTATCTTAGGCACCAGTCGAATGTGTGAAGATGTATGAAAACCTTCGTTCGTAATGTCATGCCATGATATGACGTTAATATATCTATCTACACACACACAAACACACACACATATATATATATATATATCCTTCTTTCCTCATCAAAATTATAGCTTTATTATTATACATCGAACAATATATATATATATATATAAGCGATCACGTATCTTTCGATATATGACGGATGATGCAGGGCTTTTTTTCTCGCAGTAGCTTGCCATTTCTTTGTGAGGTAGACCAGTTGCCATCCAAGGCTATAGAGTCCGGTCTGTCTTGCTATTTACCCATAGCTGGGGTGGAGGGTGTAAAGAAGAGGATTCATACCTTTCCCAAGGGCGTAAAAAAAAGAAAAACTGAGCGTAATGGATTCGACTGGCATTCGGACGTGGCTCTCCGATTCCTCAATCCGTAATTCCCCTCCCTCCCTCTCTCTCTCGCTCTCTCTCTCTCCCAATATATATATATATATATATATATATATGTGTGTGTGTGTGTGTGTGTGTGTGTGTGTGTGTGTGTGTGTGTGTGTGATAAAATAAAGTTTAAAGGTATGGTATATTTGGGTATTAAAGTACTGGGTATCAGGGATAGAGCGTATGTAAATATTAAAGTTGAGCCTGAGGTCAACACCCTGTTTCATGCTTAAACGCAATACACAGAGCATATATGATTGTTGATTCAATGTCCACTTTTGCACACACACACACACACACACACACACACATATATATATATATATATATATATATATATATATATATATATATCAATTCCCTTCAAGCTTGGCAAGTGTCAGACAATATGAGAAGAAAAAACATTATTAAGGAGAGAGAACAATAAAAGTAAAGAAATTAAGAAGATAAATGATAACGATTGCTTTTAAATGTCTGAAGATCAAAGTTGACTGGGAAGCAAGAAACCGGAAGAGAGTTCCACAGGTGAGAAGTGCGTTAGAAGAAACCGTTACCATAGAACTTACATTTGCATCTAGCCATTTTGATTTCAAAATGACGAGAGCTTGCCGCTAATCAATGACTGCGCTTAAATTCATAAGTTCTAGGAACCATAGAGGAAAGATCCTCTGAACAATTACCGTGAAAATATTTAAAGAAAAGGCACAAGGTAAAGCTACGTTACGGTGGTGAGAAAGTGACTGAAGCCGAGATGCCAGACCAGGATCAATAACATTGCAGATTCTTCTTTGGATTTTATCAAGAATCTCTATATATATATATATATATATATATATATATATATATATATATAAACTATTTTTTGGTGGAGGGGTGCCAGTATCAGATTTCCATTTACTGCGTTGTAGTGCTCATGTATCATTTAAAAACAGTTAAAAACAGGGGTCATTACATAATCTTTTTTCGATTGTATTCGCTTTCTTTGGCGTAGTTGCCAATGGTTACTGTTGTTGTTCTTTTGCTTTCCTCTGTTTATGTATTTTTTGCTTTTTGTATGTTCGATAATTTTTGTATATATATTTTTCGATAACCGCCCACCAGAGAAAAGAGTTGAGCTCTCCCGTTCTGACCAGAATACAGAGTTTACTTATTGGAAGGACACCAAAGCCATACACGTACTGGCTAACAGGAATTGGCGTTGCCCGGAGTTGGACAAAATGTACGAGAGATGTTCTCATTAATTGTTATGGCGATAGATAGATAGATAGATAGATAGATAGATAGATAGATAGATGAACGAATGAATGAAGAATGGGACTAAATTAGATAGATTGATAGATAGATAGATAGATAGATAGATAGATAGATAGATGTGACAGAAAGACTATCATAGATAAATAGATACACAGATATTAAAAAACTGTCATAGACAGAAAAATACTAAGATGGATAGATAGATATCAACAGACGAGGATAGATAGATAGATAGATAGATAGATAGATAGATAGATAGATAGATAGATAGATAGATATGAACAGACTAAAATCAATAGATACATACATACATAGTCCTACGGAAAATAGAATTACTACACTCTGGAAGATGGAGTTTGACCTACGTACTGGCTCTGCTTCAAACCTAAATGCATTTCTTCTTCCTCCTCTTCTTTTTCTTCTTCTTCTTCCTCCTCCTCCTCTTCTTCCTCCTCCTCTTCTTCCTCCTCCTCTTCTTCTTTTTTTCTTCTTCTCGTGTATCCTCAGGATGTGAGCAATAATAACCCAGCACAATCTCCTATATCTTCTATATCTTACTAACGTCTGCCTCTTTTCTATCCCTCCCACCTCGTTCTGTCATCCATTCACTCGCTAGGTAGACGTTTCGTTGCCATTCCATGTCCCTTTTGCCTTCGATACGTCTTACGAGTCTTAAATTTTCTAAGCCCTCCTTCCTCTTTATGTGTCCCCTGTAATTTCAGACGTCCCTTTCTGATTCTAAGTATAATTGCCCTTTTCGTTTCCATTTCCAGGCACACGAAGAAGAAGAAGAAGAAGAAGAAGAAGAAGAAGAATTAGAAGAAGAAGAAGAAGATCATCTTGAGTTTTTAAACTCAAGATGATATTTGAACCATTCTTCTTCTTCTTCTTCTTCATCATCACTTTTTGCAATAATTAATTTTTCCTAATAATACTTGATCTTAATTTTAGCAGTAATCGTAAAGCTAACTTGAGGACAGTTCAACTGATTTATGGAGACATAGCACAAGTAATCCAGTGACTTCACCCAAAGAGCTGTGAGTTCAATACCTAGCCACAGTAGAGAGGAACAACAACTTGTAGACTTGCGTTAAAGACGAAATAACTGGAACTGAGATATCCGGAAGAGGCATGGCACGTGGAACTAGAACAATATACTCTGCTGAAAGAAATAAAGGATTCGATACGAAATATTAATCACCTGGAGAAAACCGGGGCGTACAACGGCCGAAACGTCGTTAATATGACAACAAAGATGAGGACAACAGTTCGAAAAATGTAAATAGTTACAATATCTCATCTCATAAATATAGACAGATATTTAATAGACAGATTTTATATATTTCAACCGAAAGTAGCTCGATCAATGAATACTAAATGTTTCCTTATAAGGAAAAGGCTAATATTACTATTACCAGTATTTATATGCGGGCTATCAGCTACAACATTGAAATTTTATTAGATCAAACACTGTCAGCCATTTTTTATTGGTATTTCTTTCATTTTAATTGCTTTTCACTTCGTCGTAGTAAAATTATCCAGAATTTTTATTAGGTCAACTTAATTTAAGACTAGCATTTCATCTTAATTTCAGTTCCTTTAATTACATGTATCGTATTAGCAGCCATATTATCCAGAATTTTTAACGTTCTGGGGATGACGATAAACTCCAACCGGGAGCAAGGCCTCTGCTCGGGAGGTTTTGAGGAGCTTAGAACCACCTCTTAATTGATCTTGCACCCAGGTTCATACTAACCCGGGGTTGTAGCGACTTTTAGGGTCCCAGATGTGGGCAAAGAGTTAACCCTCAAACTGGAGTCAAAACACGATGAAAGTATAAAAATACATTTTTATAGTATGAATACCAGTAATACATTTTTGAAAAAAAATATATTACCAGCAATACATTTGATACTAGACAAAAACACCCTTTACAAAAAATACGTCAATGAAACCTGATCTACAAAGTGATTTCCTTCAAAGAATATATATTCTATTCATACGAACCTATCCTAAACATTTTGTCGGCATTAAATAAAACTGAGGTCGATGTGCCGTAAAACAAAATAAACAAAACCAAACAAATTTTTTATTCGGTCAAGTATTATCAACAATTCTTAATTTTTGACTCGAATAACTATCATTTCGTCTTTAATTGCGTTTCACCTTGTAGTAAAATTATCCAGATTTTTTCTAAGATCAATTATTGTCAACAATTATTATTTTTGACTCTCATTTCTTCCATCTTAATTTTAATTGCTTTAGAAGGAAAAATACCCATCGATAAAGATATGATTGTTTAGCACAATTTTATGACATTTCACGTAAGAAAGAAATTCGTTTATAAATGAACAATTAAAAACAAAAAAAGAGAAAATATGGCTTTACTTAACGATTTTCTTTCTGTTTTTTTTGTTTTGTTTTGTTTTGTTTTTTCCGAGGATTTCTATTTTTCTTTTTTGTTCTTTTTTCTGGGTTTTCCTTGTTTTTTTCTTGTTTTTTCTAGTTGTTTTCTCTTTCTAGTTTTGGAGGGGAGTCTCTTTTTTCTGGAGTTTTTCTCTCTTTTTTTCTGTTTCTTTCTGTGATTTTTCTCTTTTTTTCTGTTTTTTCTCTGTTTTTTTTTTTTTCTGTTTTTTCTGGTGTTTCCCTGTTTTGTTTTGTTCTCTGGAGTTTTCTTTTCTTATTTTTAACCATGGAACGTCTCTCTTTTTGCTGTCGTGTCAATTATGATCGAATCTAATGAACACGGATATAAAGCAGAGTAATTTATCAAACGATAATAAAATTAAAACCAAAATAAACAACCAGCTGCAAGGACTAATGTCAACTTTAGAAACCCGCTTTCCTATCTCAACACCTCTGCTTCTGACACATTCCACTCTACTCCATGAACGATTTGTCACCAATTTTATTCTAAACACATTGAATTCATTTGGTTTAAACCAGTATGTGTTAAACTAGTAAAAAAAAAAAAAAATTATTTTTTAAAAGCTGCCAGAACTGTTGGTAATTTTTTTTTTATATTGGAGTAGCTTAGCTGTAAGCGTCGTCAAGTGTTGCTTTGACCTGCAAGGGTTAAGGGACACGGCACATAAAAGAAGATGAATAGTAATGGTTGTTGACACGGAAAATGGAATCGGCGAATCGAGTTCAAATTCAGTCGAAGTCACTTAAGCTCACTTAACATTAATACCCTTAGGAAAGGCATGAATCCACTTCGTCTCCCTAGCTATATGCAAAATAGCAGAGTAAACTGTGCACTCAAGCTTTGGGTGGCCGCCAGAAAAGAACTATGATGTCAAACCCATGGAGAAGGCAACGGGAAACCACTCTCTTTCCCAAGAATTCATGGTGGTTCTCAGATAATAAAGAAAAATAATTTGAGGATAGCCATGATCGCCTACGCCCTGAAGTGACAAGGCAATTAAACAAAGTTATACAAATGCAGGATACGGACCTGTGTTTTATACGTTATGCAAAAGCATAAAGTACGTCACTAAGAAGTGTTGGAACTGCTCGTTAACCTTGACATATTTAGGAAGGATATTAGAATAATCCAGAACTTATACTGGCAGCACGCCGCCTGCATGCGGACAGTTGGTTGATTGGTTGGTTGGTTTTACGAGTAGAAAATTGTTTCAGTAAATATTAAAAACAAAGAAATAGAAATAGGTGTAAGACGATGATGTGTCATCTCACCAGACTTATTTACCCTATACAATGAGACGATTCTGAGAGGATTAATAATTTCTGCCAGGATATATTACTGACCACAATCTGAACATGAGATATGCAGATGACACATTATTGATAGCAGACACAGAAAGGAAACTACAAGAACTCCTACAGAAAATAGTGAAGGAAAGCGAGAAGAAAGGACTAAACCTCAATTTCAAAAAGACGGAATGCATGGTTATTAGCAAAAGTGACAGCCCAGCATGCTAATTACAAATTGGAGATACCAAAATCTAGGAAATGTTTTAATAGAGGACGGAAAGTGTGACACTGAGACCCGAAGGCGCCCAGGAAGAGCGAAAGAAGTCTTCCAAAATCTAAGCAATGTATTAAGAATCAGGAAAATTTCGTTAGAAACAAAAAAAAATGATTGTTGAACTTTTATTTAATATTAATCCTATATTAATATGACAGGGAATGCTGGACAATGTCCTCACCGATGAAAAAGAAACGAAGCACACAAAATGTGGTTCTACAGAAGGATGCTTAGAATATAGTGGAAAGAATGGAAACAAAATGGATACTTATAATTGGCATCAGGAAGAGACAAATGAAATTTGTAGAGAAAGAGAACTTGGAAAATTTGATACTCACAAGGACAGATAGAAGGCAAGAGGGACAGCGGGAAACGACGCAAAACCTAACGAGCTTGAGTAAATTGGTGGCGAAGCAAGTTTTAGGAGAGACTACACTACCCGTGACCCGTTGGGTCAATGACAGGTCAGATTATAAAAACACTGAAGTTGATTTCAACATTCCATTGAAATGAAAATTAATTTTATTATGATTCAGTTAAATATTTCAATTCGTTCGTGTGATCATTGGTCTGCTTTATGTTTAATGTTTTACTGATTTTTTACAGCATTTAATAGGAATAGAATTTCCGGGATAAACTTGAACTTTAAATCAGATTAACTTAAAAATATTTCATAATATGCCAAAAAATATTTTTAAATCATATTCACATTTTTTCTTAAATATTTAAAATATTGTTTGTTTAAAGAAAATTGAAATATAATTAGTGTACACACAAATGGACGAAACGGCAAATCGGGATCTCTTTATGATTGTCTTTAACTTAAAAATATTTTAAATAAAAAAATTCGTCTGTTTGAAAAAAATTAAAATAAAAATACTTACTGTGTAAACAACTCGTATTTTTAAGTCATATTAACTTTAATCAGATTAACTTAAATCATTATTATCATTATGGATGGACATACCACAGAAGCACTCACGCAGTCCTAAACTTTTGCTATTATATAGATAGCAAAGAGACAAAATTTATGAAGAGCTACAAAGGACAGAAAATTATGGGGAACCATGATCGCCTCTATCCTGAAGCGACACGGCACATAGAAGAAGAAGAAGAAGAAGAAGAAGAAGAAGAGAGAAAGAAAGAAAAAGAGGAAGAGAGAAGAAGAGAGAAGAAGAAGAGAGGAGAAGAAGAAAGAAGAGAAAATTGAGAGAAGAATAGAGAAGAAGAAGAAGAAGAAGAAGAAGAAGAAGAAGAAGAGAGAAAAAGAACAGAGAAGAAGAAGAAGATGATGATGATGATGATGATGATGATGATGATTTGGTTAGTTAAATAATATATAACATATTCCCAATTATTAACTAATTAAGCAAATTAACGTCACCTATGTTTGGATGCACAACAAAAATCCATTTCTCTTTCAACCTGATATTTATAGCATTCTTTCCAGATAACAGTTCTCATATGACCAACTGCATATTCGACCTTTTTTTAACTTATTAATAAATCAATTCCACATGTTGAGTATGAAGACTGCTGAGCGAATATGTTTCTAGTTATAAAATATATGACAGCTTAAGTGTTGAATCATATTTCACGCAGATAGTTGGAAACTTTAGTTTCTGTATTCGAATTTATTTCCCTTTTGATTAAGAAACTTTATACTTTTTTGCTTATATACAGTATTGATATTAACATTATCCATATATCCTGCTGATATAAACATTGCCTATAAACAACGTGGATATAAGTATTGCCGGTAAACAATAAATGTTGCCGGTGGAGTTCTTCTATATACACTGCAACCATTTTTTATATTACTAGAGATTAATTGCTTCAGATCATGAATATAAAAATGTATTAGATTTTATAAAAGTGAATAGGCACAGGGAGGCAACCTTGCCACTGTGCTTCAGTCACTTTCCCACTGCAGTAAGCGTCTGGTTACCAAATTACTGGTATTAAACACACAATTGTCTCTTTAGCTAAATGGTATAGCACGTCAGATCAAATGACGGTTTCCGTATAGGAATACAGATTCGATTACTGTGGGAGAACGCATATTTTCTACGAAATTTCTCGAACATTCAGGCCAGAAAATGTAATTAATACTGTTTAATTAAAAACAGAGCTTTTAAAATAAATTGTATCTATAGCTTAAAAGATGACTTATGATTGTGCAACCTCTTCTTAAAGTTACCCTCAGTGCACCCGATGTATATTTTTGTGGTCATTTGTATCTATTACTTCTACTTTGTAAATTATTGCTCCAATTTTACAAACTCCATCTAATGGACATCTGTTTTTATTTCTACAATTGCATATTTTATTGTTAACGATGATATGCTGCATGTTACTTTTAACATTTCTGGCGTTTTATCTTTTTATTGTAGTTTCTAAATTACTAGTACAGCTGTAGCTTGATTTAACTGTGTTTTTATTAAATATTTTATGCAATTCGTAATTTTAGTGGAAGTGTTTATTTGAAAATTTTAAAAAATAGTTTCACTAATTTACTCTTGATCTCTAAGTTAAAAGTGGGGTTAAACTAAATAATATTTTTTTCTTTTCCTCGAATTTTTTTATTTGTTGTTTTACTTAATGTTTAAATTCCAATTTGGTTTTATTCCCCTCTTCTTTTAAAATCTTTTCATATTCTTGCTTTTTATCTTCGAAAATTATTTTACTAGAGGAATTTCTAGATAACCTGGACTCTTCCTTTGGGGATTTGCTTTATTATACTCGCAGAGTTACTGGATCTAGCATTCACGTATTTTAATTTTGCGTTGGGTTTCATGTATGAAGAGAAAGTAGATTTCATTCTACATCCAAATATTTGACGATTTATTTTTATTCATATCGACTTCTATTTCAAAGTCAAGGCTTTTGAAGTGTTTGAAAAGCGCTTTTATTATATTGTCATTTGTTTTTTGTTGTCTAGCACTAGCATCGACCTGTCATTCCTATACAGGCCACAGTTATTTATATATATAATTTTGTTGATTTCATATAAAATATGTAGGCTTATTAATTCTGAAACCTCAGCACCACCCAAGGAAGCGTGTCGAAGTCTCTCTTTTTACATTTTTTAATCCAAGATACTCCATTGTGGAATAAAATTGATTTACAGCAATGTAAAATTATGGCTAATTGTTCAGGTGTTATATTTACGATGCCTTTGGCGAAGTACAAAGCCTCAATCAGACCT